CTCTCTCTCTCTCTCTCTCTCTCTCTCTCTCTCTCTCTCTCTCTCTCTCTCTCTCTCTCTCTCTCTCTCTCTCTCTCTCTCTCTCTCTTGTTCGTGTATGGACCTGGCCATTACTGGCCATTGTACATGCCTCTCACCAGTTGGAGATGTGGGACAACGGCACCATGGTCCATGCGTCTGACCACTGACTGATGTAAATGATGCTGTTTGCTTGCCACACTAAACCGTCAGCAATCTCTTTTATGTCGAAGTTCATTCCTCTTTCCTCGTGCTTCAGCAGGACAATATGCCAACACTCTGCGGCGTTCTCCTTTGCACAATTTCAAACGCTGTTACACTCGACCGTAGCCGCCATCATGCCTGTCCCAATTACTACAATGACAGAGTTTCTGCATCCATGTGTGTAGAGGATTGTCCCTCCGTTCCTGACTGCACGCACCCTCTGCATCTGGACACACTATGTCCATGTTGCGGCCATGGGCGTTTGTGTTGCCCGTTCTTCCTTCATGTTGGCCTGCAATCAACGTGCCATTTGTCGGGAGTGTTTGGTTGGGATGCTCAATGCCAGCCGTCGTGGCAACTAGGTCCTTATCCTTTCCTACGCTTTCATCTTCATTCCACACCATACTTGCAAGCAGACGGACCGGACAAGCGTCCGGTCCGGTCCGCTTTGCCGCGTGCGGCACCCTCCCCCCGGACCGGACGGACCTGGACCAGACCGGACAGGGCCTTTTTTTCTTCTTTTTTTTGGGGGGTGGGGCGTAACTGGTCGTCGGGCGCACATTCGTGCGCCGCGCGGGTCTGGTCCGGCAGTCTGCCGCACGTGCAGAACTGCCCAGACGGCGTCCGCTTGCAAGTATGTTCCACACTCCTTTTTCCTATGCTTTCGTTTTCCTTCCGCACTCCTTCCTTCTACTATAACGCCTAAAAAAATGGTGAGCGGGTCTCTGAAGACGCTCCCAATCAGGCTCAGTGGGTGCCAGATGTCCCGGTTTGTGCAGGCCGTTTTTTTTTTTCTTTTCTGGGCCGCATGTGCAATAGGTCGCTCTTTTTTTGTGGCCGGTTTGTCCATCGATGCAAAGGTGAGGAGCTTGAATCCGGGGCCCTCACTTCCGACAGAGTTTTTGTAGGTGGTGGGGAGTGGAATTGAAGCACCGAGTGGCCGGTTTGTCCATCGATGCAAAGGTGAGGAGCTTGAATCCGGGGCCCTCACTTCCAACAGAGTTTTTGTAGGTGGTGGGGAGTGGAATTGAAGCACCGAGTGGCAAGTTTTTTTTTTTTTTTTTTTTTTTTTTTTTTTGAAGCTCCTCCTATTCTGGGTAGTAGTAGTTCGGTTCCTTTTCCACCGGCAAGTCATAATGGAATACAATTGTACACCACACCTTCCCGCGTTGCGACCCGGGAACCCTGTCAGCATTGATTCCTTCTGGAAGAGAAGGATTTACTGCCAGCTAAGCCCGTGCTTGGAATCAATCCCCACCCCCTAGTACTTGAACCCTAAGCAGGCCGTTAGTACCCATCTCAGGCTTCTCATCCCCCCTGAAACCCTAAACCCTTGGGTCAGGCAGTGGCCAAAGCTGTACCCACATTGTTTTTTGTTTTCTGTTGCGGTGGGTTTTTCATTTTCTTCGTGCGGGGTTTTGTCTTTTCCGTCACTTCGATTTCTCCGTCGGCGCAAAGGTAAGGAGCTTGAATCCAGGGGCTTGACTTTTGATGGAGTTTTTGCAGGCAGCATGGAGTCCAATTCTACACAAAGAAGCCGATAGGTGAGCGCTTTTTTGTCTTTGGTGGGGCTTCAAGTAATGAGCTGTTGTTTCATCGCTGCCGATTCGCTGGAGCCGAATTCGACTTGAAGTCGCGAGGGCGTTTTTGTTGTTTCTTGGGGCGGATCCATCGGTCGTTTCAGGGGGCGGACTTCACTCTTGTTAGAGTACAAGTTCATCGCAGGCCCTTTTCGATAGAGAGAAGAAACCTGATTGTTATGGACAAGTTCACGAGGTCGAATCCGTACAAGCTCACAGTTGATGGGCATAACATTTTACTGTGTAGGGTTGACTTTTTTATGTACTTTTTTTCTGTTGGTTTTCGTTATTTGTACGGTGTAGCCCCACGTACATACCCCACATGTTTCCAGCTCAGATCTAAAGAAGCAAGTCACTAATAGCAACCAGGTCCCGAGCTTGAATCTGCGTGAACCTCACCCTGAAAGGAAAAACAGTGACCTTAGGGTTTTGTCTTCTTACTTCTCTTTGTCAGATTCAAGCTCAGGTCTATATATCAACAGTTGATGTATGTACCATTCAGCCACATGGGCCCAGGTTTATTTTTTTTTGGGGGGGTGTTTTTCTTTAAGGGGGGGTCGTTTGTACCACCCAACCCATGTAGCATCCCCCATCTACCCCACAGTGTGCAATCCAGTCCAGATACTGTGTGTGACCCGCCCCACACCACATAATTTCACCCAGCCCACATAGCATGACCCATCCCACATACTTAGTATCACCCAGGCCACATATTACTGTTCTGTCCGCATGGTAGGACCCATCCGATGCCATATGATCCGGCCCGCATGGTGTCATCCAGGCTTCATGGTACTGCTCAGCCCACACATACTGCCTGGCAGTGGCAAGGGCCGAATTGTGCCTCACGTTCTCCTCTTTTTTTTTTGTAATGGCTGTATCTGTGCTTTGTGTTTTTTTTTTTTTTTTCTTTTTTCTTTTTTTTGTGCATGGGATTGTGTGTTAGTACCATGCAGTTGACATAGTATGGCCCGCACCACATGGTGCCATAGTCCTGCTAAGGGCGGAGCTGTGCCTAGGCGTGTCCTTTCTTTTGGTGGTTGTGTCGTGTGTGTGTGGGCGGGTGCGTGTGTGGGTGGGTGCGAGTGTGTGTGAGTGAGGATGATATCCAGAGGTGAAATTGTTTTGTTTTTTGAACTTTTTTCAACTTTTTTGTGTAAGCCTGTACGGCCTTTTTCTTTTGATTTTTTTGCTTGGCCAACTGAATGGCAGGGGACGATGGGGGGGGGTAGGAGAAGGACATGGCGCGAGCAGGCGGAGGAGTACCACGTGGCGGAGGAGGAGGGCCATGTCGGTACAGGGCAGTGGTGATCCCCGTGGTCAGGCGCACCTGTGAGAGGCACAGTTAAAAGGGAGCTGCAAAAACAAATAAAAGGGGTTACCCATACCGGGCGGGCCAGGGAAGGCCACTGGAAAAGTAGGACTACAGAGCTGGGGCGGAGCGGAGGTGCATGAAGGGACGGCATAGGAAGTAGGAATGCAAAGCAGTGGTGGAGTGGGGGTAGATCCTCCCGTGGAGGGAGCAATCAATGCCGCTGTGTCAGGACCTCGGCCATAACGGGGAGGAGCGTTTGGGTGAGTTCTGTTGATGTACGGGACGCTGGACCCTATTTCCAGCCAGTGCAAAAAGACAAAAAAGAGAAAAAAAGAAGGGGTACCCCGAAGAAAGACAAGGTAAAGATAGTCAAGAAAGGGATAGAAGTTCATATAGCGGATCTATTCTGCTTCGTGTTGCTTGCTATAGAGGTAAAACTGTTTCATTGTTGGATTGGCTCATCTAAAGCGTGCTTCGTTCGTTGGCTGCAATAGAGGTAAAGCTGCTTCAATTTTTTATCTAGTCATCCGGATGGTAGTCCTTAATCAGACACGCAGGGGGCCTGGCGTAGTGGCCATTTTTCGAAGGTGGGGAAGGGGGAAGGTCTTTTCTAGTAGTCTGCAACCGGTGGGCCCTGCCTGCCTTCCTGAAGATGCCAGGATGGTCAGCTGACATACCACCCCCACGCCAGTACATGGGCAGAGCAGCAGTAATGTCACATAGCAAGTCGGCTGCCGCATTGCTGCTGAGTGCTATGGAGAGAAGCGGCAAACACCTTTGCCTAGAGGGAGAAGGACCATAGCCATAGCCAGTGCCTGTGTGTGTGTGTGTGTGTGTGTGTGTGTGTGTGTGTGTGTGTGTGTGTGTGTGTGTGTGTGTGTGTGTGTGTGTGTGCAGGCAGGCAGGCAGGCAGGGTGGCAGGCTGGCAGGCTGGCAGGCAGACAGAGAGACAGGCAGACAGACAGACATACAGATAGACATACAGACAGAAAGGCAGGAAGACAGACAGACAGACAGGCAGGCGTGGTGAGGCAGGGAGGCGAGCGCCTGAAGGCATGAGTCCTTGGAGGAATCGGAGGACCACAAGAGGAGGAAGGAGGCCAAGGAACTTACCTGGTGGATTGTTCAGTGAGCTCCAGCAATGTACATTCTATCATTGGTCATCTGTGGGAGCAGCATGTCATCTGTGGCACTCAACTCAAGTAGGCTGAGTAAGTAGGCTGAGTAGTGTAGTTGATAATGGCAAATGATCACGTTGGCCAGTCAGGCTGGACTGTTTTTCGTTGATGTGTTGTTAATAGGGGCGAGAGAGGGGGGAGGCCCTCTTTATCGAGGGATTTCAATATTGTCAATATTTGTGCATGTCTGATGATTTTCAATTCTGTTACCTATTTTGTTGTTGTTGCTGAGTCAATGCTGATTCATGGGAGTGTAGTGTGCTTGTGATTCGAGTGTCCTCTTCATGGTCTCCTTGCAAGGGCGCCCAATGTCGCATCAATGTGGCTAAAAGCCACTAAGCTAGTTTGAACTTTGCAGATGTCCGCAACGAGACGGGCACGACGAGTATTTGGAGGTATTTTTTATTGGTCTTCCGGACTTTAAGATGTTGCTTGATTTGTAAAACCTTGAGTGCTGCTCTCTGATGTTGGCCACATGTTTTGTGTATGTGTGCTCAGGGAAAGGCTGGGTTGGTGCCATCTTCGAAAGAGTTCATGGAGGCGCTGGAGAAGCACGACCTGTTCATCTATCTTGGCCACGGCAGCGGTACAACTCTCTCTCTCTCTCTCTCTCTCTCTCTCTCTCTCTCTCTCTCTCTCTCTCTCTCNCTCTCTCTCTCTCTCTCTCTCTCTCTCTCTCTCTCTCTCTCTCTCTGTGTGTCTGTGTGTGTGTGTGTGTGTGTGTGTGTGTGTGTGGCTTTTTACATGTGCGTATTGTTTTGGCTCTGTTTCTCCTCTTAGCTAGCCCTCTTCGTCCTTCCTCCATGTGAAGTTATCCTGCTCCTGTTCATGAAAGCTATGGTGCTCAGTTTTCTTACTTTCGTCAGACTGAATCGCTATGTAGAGGATGCAATTCTTGGAGAAACTGGTGTAAGGGAATTCTTAGTAGAGGTGCCTCATCGCATTGCCTGGGCTGTTAGCGTGAGACAGTGCAGCTAGACAAGGTGATGAGGGCTCACTGGAGTTGTTTTGTGTTTTTTCTTCCATCGGACTCTTGCTAATGTTGTGGGAACAACAACCTTGTTCGGCCCTCCGTTATAAGGTTGAGTTGGTTAACCAATATAATGCTTGACGAGGACATTTTCATTTCATCTTGCCACCCAGCTTGGCACCTACGGACAAGGGAGCACGTACTTGTACGGTTGTACCACAATTTGAGCAGAGAGAATCCCCGCAGAAGTACAAAGGTACAGATGAAGAACGGTGCCTCTCTCGGCGCTCAACCGTTGGAGAATCCCTGCCGTGCTTTGCTGGAATGACCGGTGTACATGCTTCTGGGCCCAACGCTCCAGTTTGGAACCATTGTGATTGCCTTGGTGCCACCACATCCGCTGCTTCGCCATATGGGACATATGGGACAACCTGGGATATGGAGGTGAGATTGCTCTTGCAGGCTTGCAAACATGCAATGCAAAGCATGGCTGCAAAGTCGAACACCCTGGCGAGGCGCACTGTTGAGGGAGGGTAAATGCTCCTCGCTAGGATCGCCAGACGTATTATCATGCTATCATCCACCTAAAGAGGATGAGCAGGTTAACATGAAGAACCGAAGGAAATGTTAACTTGTGCGTTGTGAGCATATTCGCGGCCAGCAGGCTGAAGAGGCGGTGCCGCCCCTGCTAACTGTTTCTTACGTATAGCTGAACCCGGGTAATGGCCCAGTATTGGACTTGCACGATGATCTATGCACGGGATGCTGGACCCTGTTTTCCAGCAGGTGCTGCTCCCCACCAATAGATCGGAGCCACCCACAGCAGACGTTGTCGGAGGGGGCTGCTCATATCGCCCCCTCTAGCACCTGGCAGGGGGTTCTTTCCCAAAAAAAAAAAAAAAAAAAAAGGATTCATAGTGGGATTCTGTTTCGCTGCGTCAAAATGCGTCAGATAAGATGAATCTAGTCTGGAGAATGTCAGAAATACAGAACAGAGTATAAAGTACCCTTAACCCTAAACCCTAAACTCTATAAAGTTGTAAACCTATAGGGCCGCGCTGCACTACTCTCGAAATGTGTAAAACGAGAGTGAATCTTGTGCTAGAATATGGAAAGATACACCGGCAATATTTTTGTCTTTTGTGCATGCCGAGAGTAGTGCAGCGAGGCCCATAATCGATGTTCCATTTGTTGGAATACCCGAAGGAAACTGTCCTGAGGTGGTCCAAGCAGAAACAGTATAGTATTATTATTATTATTATTATTTTTTTTTTTTACCAAATGATCCAATCTATTCGTCCAGTCTCATTTCCGAAGGGCCCCTACATAACGAGGACCCCACGTGGAATAGAGATGGACATTGGACTTAAACAGTATAGTATTATAACTTTTTAATCGCTTGTAATTTTTGTGAAAATTCATAATAGATTCTAGCTATTGCAGATCAACAGGCTGGTTGGGACTGAAACTTTCTTAGCCTACCTTCTTCCCCCGAATACAAAGCAAGGTCATTCATTATAGCTGTATTTGGGGCATCTTTCAGTCTAAGTACAGCCTAGAATGACCGTGCATTGTAGGCGGGGGAAGAAGGTAGCTCAGTTGGTACACCCATGAACTGTTGAAATACAGACCACAGTTCGAATCCCGATGCAACCAGATGAACGGAATAAAATAATTTCTGAATTATTAATAATTTCTGAATTACCTGGGTCCGGTCGGTTGAATGATGATTCTCAAGGCTGTCACCCTTTTGAGAAAAAAGGGGAAAATTAAAAATTTTCCAAAAAAAGGCTTTTTCCCTAGCCCACCCATGTGGCTGAATGGGACACGCATCAAACTGTTCATCAACATAGCCTGAGTTTGAATCAATGTGGAATCCGATGGAAACAACATGACGGGCCTACCTTTTTTCGGGGCTCCACCAAACCTGATAGTGACAAGGCAGTTTTTTTTTTTTTTTTTTTTTTTTTTTTTTTTTTTTTTGACAAGGCAGTATTTCAGTCGCCCGACACGGTGCAGTTCCTCAGTTTAGGAGTATATATATGTAACCTTGCTCATGATGATGTACATTGTACACAAACATCCACGTTAGTTAATTAGTCTGTCGTGCCTTGCCCGCAGCTATTTAATTAGTCAATAAATAATAAGTATGGCTTGTGCTCCTGATCCTGGTCCATACGGTTTCCCTCCTGCCGGTGTTTGTTTGCGATGACTCGTCATTAAACAGTTCCTCCATTTGTTTGTCACTGGCATTGGCATGTGTTCGTCTGCTGGTTGTCACAGGTGAGCAGTACCTGTCGTCACGTGCAGTTCGGCGGCTCAATTGCCACGCGGCCAGCTTGCTGATGGGATGCAGCAGCGGGCGTCTAGCTCCTTGTGGGGACTACGAGCCTGCGGGAATGGCATTGGCATATGCATTTGCTGGCTCCCCAACCACGGTTGCAAACCTATGGGATGTGACGGACGGCGACATTGATCGCTTCACAAAGGTTGTCCTACAAGAATGGGCTCAAACGAAGTCAGACGAAGATGCTGCATGCAGTACAGAAGACAATCGGTTGTCCTCGTCAGATCATGATGTTGGGCTGCGAAGGGCGGAAGCGCGTGCCAATTCGCTCAAGCCCGGTAGTACTTTGTGCGGTTCCGAAACGACGGCGAATCATGGAGAGTTGGTAAAGGGCTTGCCGGCACCGGAGACATGTTTGAGCACAGCAGTCGCTTCGGGTAGAGATGCTTGCAAGCTGCGTCACCTTATCGGTGCAGCACCTGTTTGCTACGGGGTACCAACGGCCATCCGGATGCGGCACCGTGGGGGA